TTCTCCTGCTGCTTTTCCGCCTCGAGCACGATGTTACACCCGCGTCCAGAAAGCTGAGGCTTTGGGGCGTTCTGAAGGAGGGCAAAGTTACCTTCATCCGATTGCCACGGGCTGCGTTTATTGTAGAGTGACATGCGAGAAAAAAACAGGTGCAGCCAGGGTTCAACGGGCTTTAGGCATTGGGGGTCTTAGGTCTTGGGATAGAGGCGCGCATTTGGGCCACGGATTTGCGCGGTTCAAAACTTGTGGCTTAAAGATCCAGGATAGCGATACGTGTCGGGGCTTCAGACAATAATGGATTTTGGTGTAGAAAGAACCCTAGATATATAGTAGGATGCTTACTACAAGCACCCCTAAGTAAGGCGCCCCTCGTTTTGAGAAGCCGATGTGGGCTTGATTGACCACGGGACCCCCATGCATTCGAGCTCCTACACTCGAAGCCCCGAGCCCTTAGTGCGAAACCCCTAGATCGAGAGATCTTTGCCAGGACTCCTTATTGCGAAGCGCAGAACACCGAGGACCTGCAACAGTTAGTTAGCGCTTTCGGGACCGCTTCTTGGTGCTACCCGTTGCAGTACTCCTGTCCTTTTCATATCGCAGAAGTCTTATGTCTCAACACTACGATTATAACTCTTGACAGATACCCCTGTCCAGCCCTAAGCCCCACGCTCCAAATTCGGATCCGTACGCCCTAGGGTTACTATAAGGCTTATTCTCAGGGCTTTTCGAATAATGTATACGATAACTCAAGGTAATAAAAACAAGGCTCTATCCTAAGGTTTCACAAGCCACGAGTCAAACTGTAAGCCGTCTTGGAGACTCAGGGCCAGACTCGGTAAGGAGAAGCTTTGGGTTTTCTAATATTTTCCGAGCGCCAACCCTCACTTACCCGGAGTACTCGTCAGATGTGCTTAGTTGAAGACGAAATATAGCCACTTATCTCGTTGATGCTTGGACCTCCAAAGCGACCGCCCAATGTCAATCAAACCCCACCAATCGGAAAAACCCCAGCAGCTGTTCTTGTCTACCGTGCGGACTAGGGATTAAGGCTAAGGGTTTGGGCAGCTTCCACCCATGTTCTGAGCCCTGTGCTCGTGACGTCTCTCATTCACATTGCGCTACTAGTCTTCTCCCTCCGGTCTTGCACACATTGATATGGATGATGGCCGCCACCACCAGAATTCTCATTTCTTCGTTTCGATGTAGCTATATATATATATATGTATCTGTATATGTACACATATATCACCCCATTGGCTGTACTTCTTCTCCAACATGCTTACCGATCGTTGACGTCGAAATCCTAAACCCCTCTCAAACTCGAACCATAATGGTCGTTGAACCCTAAGCCCAAGTCCTAAACTTGGCATTCTTCTGATTCTTGTCTGTTTTTTGCACTACACCCGGCAACAAAACAAACCCTAAATCCCACAACCCTAAATACCACAACCCTAAACCCTAAACCCTAAACCTTTGCTTTCGGCGGCTGAGAGGAGCAAAGCCGACTCGGTGAGCCGTAGCGCACGAGCCCTCTGGACGAGCCGCGGTCTGGGTTTGGTTTGTTTGCTTCTTGGGATTTTAGGATCGGGGGCTTGTGATTTCTTGAGTTTTAGGGTTACGCTTCGGGGTTTGAGATTGATATTCAGTTTTCGGTTACCCCTCATTCCGGTTACCCCAACCCGAAACTGGATATTAAAGATCCAGCGGTCCAAGCCTTTTTCTGGAGTGTTTTTAACATCTAATTGTCAGGGTTTCGGCAAAAGTCGCGCTGATTCCAGAGGACGCTTTGGACGCACACAGGCACGCCGGCCGGTCAATAAATGGCCCCAACATGGGGTCATGGGCAAAGCTCTGCTGCTTATGTAAACGTCAGTCCGGATCCCGAGCCTCATGCGCAAAAAAGCGCTCAGACACGGAAGACTTGCCATCACTGATGTGGACTCGTGCGTGTGTGTGTGTGTGTGTGTGTGCGGACATGTAGGTGTAACTACTTTTGTGTACATGTCTGCATGTGAGGACAAGATGCACCAGTAACAGAGCGGTGAATACAGACAAGCATGCTGCATATGTGGATAGCGCATAAGTTAAAGCAAGCTTCGCGGTTGACATACTTGTCGATGACCTCTATAGCTACACGCCAGAAGTGAATGGCAGCATGGCTTTCAGCCGAGAAATCCATCAGACAGCAGCAGCAATGAAAGTAACAGCAGCAGTAAGGAACTCGGCGACACCCAACAAGACTAGCAACGACAGGCACAACAACAGCAACAGCAGCAACGACAATCACCATCGTGACTACAATATGTCAGGTGAGACGAGGATGATCGTGCTGGTTGTTGATGGTGACGACGACCATGATGCGGATGACGAGCAGACTGGTGTTGATGTCCCAACAGCAGACTGATGATGATGATGTCCCAGCGGCATCGCAGCAGCACCAGCATCAGCAATGCGAGCAACAAGCATGACGACGATGGCCACACTGCAATCATACCCAGGACACCACCAACATGCACCCACGCAGGCCGACAATTACTACTAGGAAAACTGCACCAATGCCAGTAGAAAGCATCTCAGTGGCAAGAATAGGCAGCATAGCTCCAAGCGACAACATGACACGAGCAGCAGGCCGTCGTCGGCCCGTGTGAAGGTAATGATGCTAGAGTTTGTTGTTCAGTGCGTTTGTAGCGCCACACTTGCTGAGAATCGCACTCATCACCGTAATCACAGGCATATGTTTAGTAGGGATACGAAAAGCATGTCTTCTCTGATCTTGAAGGTTTTCAACCTGGTTGTTTTATTGTTGGTATCCGTAGCAGCACTGCCTTCGTGTCCAATCACTGTGTGATTGCTCTCACCAATATCAAGTGGTGCAGGGAGGACTGGTGTTGCATCTTTCTGCTGCTGCCGTGCTGCAATTTCTGTTGTCGTGTGGCTGTTGCCCTTGTGGTTGTGGTGGTTGGTCGTTTGTGGTTGCTGCGGTTGCTGCTGCTGCTGCTGTTGCTGCTGCTGCGGCTGCTGCTGCCACTGCTGCTGCTGTTGCTGTAGCTGTTCCTGCTGAGCAGCTGATGTTCTAACTGTTCCTATGTTCTTGATGCTATTGCAAGCGGACTTGCTACCAGCTAGTAGTGTTAGCAACGATGGACTCGTTCGGTCCCTCTGCCTGCTTCCGGTTTGCACGGAACCCAAATCACCTCATGTCGTCCTAGCTTTGGTAAGGTTTCTGGTTCTGAGCTCCCTGGGAGTTCAGTTCAGAGCTCCAGAGCTGAGGTTTTGCGTCGTAAGGTTGAAGCAGCAGCTCCGCTGAACTTAGGAGTGCAAGCATCTTGCCCTGCCATGCTGCAGCTTACTGGCTCTTTGAGCAGACGTACATGTCAACGCTGCGAAGTCGGGCAATTGACCTGAAAACCGGTTGTCCAAGTTAGGGACTTCGGGGGGTCCAGCCTCGTTATGACTCTTGGAGACAGTAAGTACTGCGACTCAAGCAAGTCTAGTGGCATGTTCTGCAGCACTCAGTGAGGTCCGTGAAGAACAGCCATGACTAGGATCGACAAGGCAAGGGCTCTGACACACTGATACAAAATCCACGGTATCCTTCGCCCCGCTGGCTGTTCGGCTCTTCAGAGACGTGCTTGTCTCAAAGGCCTGCTGTAAGTCATCCCGAAATGGGGCCGCCACGGCATGACGCAAACGAGAGTTCCCGCTGCCACATCGTTTCGGTGAGCTTCCGAAGAGGGGCCCCATCTACTGCCCACCACCAGCCTAAGAAAATGATTCACCTGCAGGCCGGACCAAAGATGCCCGCGAATCTCATCCGACAGGCTCGGGGTGGCGGTTCAAAGGGTGGCGGGCGAAGCTTTTTCAAGGCCAGAAGAGCGATGTAGAGTCCTTGTCTTACGTGCAAAGAGCACTTCTCGCGCTCAGAAGGTCACCTCAGCACTTCGGACCTTTTTCGGAACCCTAACCCACCCCCGTAAATGAGAGCATCACTGCACTGGTCTGCAGCCCCAAACGACCAAATTCACGCAGCCTTGAATGAATCCTACACTTCTAAGGTCTTAAATCCAGGACCCCAAGCCCTGAGCGAGAAATGCTTGCTCGTTCTCCTTTCCCGCAGGACCAGATCGAAGGCAAGGAGTCGCTGCTCGATTCAAGACCAGGGTGGTTTAGGGGGGCTCCCAGGCCCTACTTTAGGCCTTTGGCCGTTTTGGGGTTTACCGGCGAAGCCCCCCCCGCACCCGTAAACCCTAAACCCTAAACCCGAAATAAACACAGAAACTCAGAATCCCAAGTGAAAGGTCGGAAAGGGCGTTCCAAGGTCAACGATATTAGCTTTGACACTTCCGGCATGCGAACGATTCCCCTTTCGGGCTTGCGGTTGACTGTAGGCTGTAGGGTTTAGGGCCTTTCGGGTCTAGGTTTTAGGGTATTGGCTTTGAGCCTTAGGCTTAGGACGCGAGGAACGTTTTCATTCCTTTTGGAAATCAGAAGCATCTCAATCCCAATCTCATACAACCCCTGGTCAGGGTGTAGGATCTGGGGGATGCTTTAGTCTTGGAGGCTCAAAGCATCGTTTCCGTCCGATCTGTCTGTCGCGAAGCACGGTTGTAGAGATAACACGCAGCTTTCCGAGTCGGTTAGTTTCTGGTTTGAAACGTTTGAAATGTTCATCAGGTACAGCATCCCGACTTGCAGGATGTGATGCAGGTGTTGGTGCATAGAGAGTGCAGGATTCTGGCGCCTAGCATCCTGTTCCAAGACCTCATGAATCCACACTGAAGTGGTGCAGAGATGGTGACAGGGAGCAGGTCGGAAGGGTATCCAAGCAGCTGAAGCTCCACAAACTTCCCTTTGACCAGCAAGATGCTGATTCTAGTGGGCCTTATCACAGGAGATTGTTAGACCAGGGCCACCAGCTGAATTCAGAACTAAGTTACCTACGCCCGAGACATAGATGACGTCAGCTCAGCACCAGGTGGCGAGATCTAATCGACATTGAAATGCAGACGGGCAAGGTCCCCATCAACCTCAGGCAGACGCCTCGTTGCGGGTTTAGGGTCTCGGGGCTCTTTCGGCTGTGAGAGCATGTGACACAGGATCCAAGAGCCCCAAAGCCCAGAAACAGAACCCTTTTGCGTTGAAGCCAGGCGCTTCATGGACTATCTGGGCCAAGACCACCTCACCGGGGTCCTCTACGGCTTGGTGAACCTGAGCCTTGCTTCGATTTCTGAGGGCTTTTGGGAGGCTGGGCTCTCTCAAGGTTTTGGAGGCTTGGGCATTGAGGGTGGAAGCTTCGTGCTTGGAGCTTCGTGGGTGTCTCTGAGGGCTTGGACCTTGATAGCTGCGCCCGAACTGAGGATCGTGTGTGCGACGGCCTCAGCTGCGAGATCGACGAGCTTACTACAGCAAGTTGCGACAGCTCCACGAATCTTGCCCTTCTAACATGTCCACGGCCGCGGAAAACAACCCGTGTGCACCGTCTGGGCGGTGGGAATTTACTTGCAGACAGCTTTCTCAAAAGGAAACTAGCCGCTATGTTCCTGGCCTGATATATTGAACTCAGTCTTTGTTTGTCGTGCGGGAAATACAACATCATGTACACACACCCTTGTAGACACAGCTGTCCATGACCACACGTGGCTTCCTCCAATTGGTGGCTCAGGTGCCGTCACTGGTATCTTATGCGCACATCGTGTTCCCACAAGCGGAGTTCTTGCAGTTTATGCAGCCCGGCATGGAGTCTGAAAACAACACGCAGCAGGGAATTGCGTAGGAGAGGACCTGGGGTAGACTTGGTGAGTTGGGCTTGCCTGTTCTTCACAACCGCCCTCCGGGTTTCCACCGAGAGAGCTGTGCCACCTCAGGCCGGCCATCGTCAAGATCTACTTCCTCAGCTCTGCAGCTGCTTGCCACACAAGTCGGTCACAGTCAGCTTTCGGGCTTCCAGGCTTGTGGTAGTGCCACGATCTGCCCGGTAACCTTCTACCTTCCTCTACTTCTGCTGCCAGGTGAGCCCAGGACCCTAAACCCGCTGAGGTGATGCAGTTGGCAATGACGCTGCTCTCGTCCATCGTGTCCCTCGGCTCCGGAAGCTGCTGCACTTGCTGCTTCTGTTGCGCCCACTTCTCCCACCACCACCACCGCCGCCGCCGCCACGCCACTGCCGCAATGGCGACGGCAAAGATGGCGATGGCGGCGACGATAACCGGGCCGACGACAAGGATCGTCCGCTACTGCTGAGGTGACGGAATAGTTTACTACTTCTGCGAGTATTACTGCAACTACCGCTGCTGCTACTACTACTACTACTACTACTACTACTACCACTACTACTACTACTACTACTACTACTACTACTACTACTACTACTATACTACTACTACCACCACCGCCA